CTCTCTCTCTCTCGGTTGTAGACTGCTGCCGGTAGGCCTGCGCGTGTGGAGGGTACGGTTGGGAAATAGTTTCGGCATCTGTCTACGCAGCGGCGCTGGTGTAGCTAGCGTTGGTTGAGGGGTATTTATTGTTTTATAGCATTAGCTGCAAAGGTTGGTGCGCTTTATTTTATAGAATTGATTGTACACGTAATATTGTTTATTATCGTTGTGTTCATATGCGAATCAAACGTTTAAATGATGCATATTATATCGCACCTTTTCACGAGTTAGGTTACATTCTTCTTAGCTATTACGACAGCCGTTCGTACCCTCTGCACATTTTGACTTCTTCCGAGTAGGCTGTTACAGCAGCCGTCGGCACCCCCACGCACGAGTATATCAACCAGGTAGTCTTCTGTGAGCAAAAGAGCGAGAGAGAGTCAGAGAGATGAATTCCCAACCAAAAATTTTTAAAGGAGTAGTTAGACTGACGCCCACACTCCTGTCTGCGCTCTGCGCGGGCCGGCGTGAAACGACGTGGGAGCAGTCTTTGAAGTAAGGCGTTTATATTTTATGGCCACATCAGTGGGTTTTGCGTTCTAAGAGACCGCAGCCACGACCAGACTGGCGGCCGGTTTTGTGTTTTCTAGATTTTGAGCTCGAGAATTCGCAAGCTTTCACGGGTTGCCCCGTTCGCGGCCCGAAATTTTTCTTACCTATAAAAAATTGATCATAATATTAACTGGCTAAACTCTAAGGTCAAAGGGCACGTGGGCCTGCATCCGCGTTCTCTAGTATCTGTGAAATTTGCTGCTGAAGAAGCAATCTAAACAACCCCGACGATAGGGTAAAATACAACTTAATCAAATAAAAAACAAGCCGCGCGCGTCGAATCTGGGGCTGGACTAAATGTTTTAATTATCTGTGATAAAATCTTTTTTTTTTCTTCGTTCGAAAATCTTGTTGCGTTGCGATGTAGATATTGATGTAAAGATGCGTTTATGAAGCGCCACCTAGCGGATGATTATGTGTTAAAACAAAAAAAGCAGCAGAGAAAAGTGGCAGAACTATATAGTCATATATAGAAAAGTAGCTTGCATGGGAGAGCAAGAGAGCGAGAGAGGAAGCTAGAGAAAGACCAGGCAAATAGGGAGGAGCGGTAAACGCAGAGATAGGGAGAGAGCGAGCGAGCGAGAGAGCGAGAAAGAGAGTAATAAATCGGGTGAACTGAGAAATATTGCGTGGAATTTGTTCTCCGAGAAACGCACTCAATAACCACTTCAGTATATATGATCTAACAGCGCCCTCTGGTGTCCTATTACAGCTACAGCTAAGGTAAAATGGCCAGGCATCTTCAACAACAGTATTGCACTAAGAGAAGAGCTACAGCTATAATTATAATGCATATATACATACATACACACGTACATACACATGTGCATATATACGATATTTTGTTTGTTTTTTATATAACTGCGGTTGTGACTTGTTCTGATACGAATGATATCGGGAAAAATTATCGTGAAATTAACAATTAATTAATCTTACACATAATTATGACACTACTTAGTAATTAATAAGGTCACATCAAGGTCAATCTAAATGCATATATATAATATATATATATATATATATATAATGTATACAATACGAGTTATTCGGTGTAGCTTAGGCATGCGAAAGATAGATTGAAAAACATTCATTCATTCCCTAACAATATATAGTTAGTTTCTACACACCAACTAAAGTTCTGCGATTAGATCACGTGACTATAGCCATGCTCTTGCTTGGCTCACGAGAGAGAGAGAGAGAGAAAAAAAGAGAGAGAGAGAGAGAGAGAGAGAGAGA